TCTAGCACACGCGGACAGAAATTCTTGCACTCGCGGAAAGAAATTCTTGCACACCCGGATAGAAATTCTTATACCACTGCATAGAAATTCTTACTCCCCCGTATAGAAATTCTTTCACACGCGGATAGAAATTCATAAACCCCGAGATAGAATTTCTTGCAAGGAGTTCTTGGACGAGCAGAAAGAAATTCTTGTACTCTGGATAGAAATTCTTGCAAATGCGGAAAGAAATTCTTGTGCCCTTGGATAAAAATTCTTACATACGCAGATAGAAATTCTTGCACCCCCGGATAGAAATTGTAAATAAATTGTCCAAAGTTCATGTTTTTGCTCTGATTTTGCTTGTGTACTTTCGACCGTTATCAAGAACTAAATGCTGTCAGTATCAGAGATAAATGTTTTATTACAACATCCTGGCACACGTGGGAAAATTCATGTACCTATCGCTTATCACATCACATTACCAAGATAACACTATTAATATAAAACAAATATGTGTGATTCTTACCAAAATACTCTACAATACTCAAGATAAAGAAAATCGTAAAATGCTAGAAGCTATTAGCATAATAAATAAAGAGATCGCATTAAATATCTTTCGTCACGTATGAATATTTATAAAATATTTAAAATGCATATAAAATAATTACAATATGTATAAAATATTTAATATCTAGAAAAAACATTTACGCGCCAATAAGTTCCACTTAAGATACCACTTAAGATACCACTTAAAAATATTGAAAACCATATTCGTTCCTCGAAACCTTCATTTTGTAAACAGAAGGATTTTGTCCTGGGTCATTTCAAATTTTTTTTTCTTCTCTACATATTGTCAATGTTTTATTGATAATTATGTATTTATTAACCTTGATCTCGATTTGTTGAGCGAGGTTGGAACCAGGTAGCTAGTTCGTTTTTTCATTTTTTTCCTTTTAATTTTTATCATGAGTGGTAATAAAAACAACTTTTGTCTATTTATGGCGGTCATATATATATATATATATATATATATATATATATATATATATATATATATATATATATATATATATATATATATATATAATAAAAAAAAAGAAAGAGCAGTAAGATATGTAATCCGGTGTTCTTATTGATATTTTTTCTGTGCGGCGAAAAAAAAACCGTAAAATCTGTTAATTTATAATATATATATATATATATATATATATATATATATATATATATATATATATATATAATGGCGCACTTCGAGGAGGAGAGACGAGGAGCGCTCGAGGGAGGCAACGCCAGCGTCATCTGCAACCTGCCAATTCCACATGTTTCCTGCCACCTATGCCTGAGAACTTTTGCTCGCGGATCGGGCAGCCATCTTGGCAGCCCACAGAAGACGGAAGGAGATTGAAAGTCAGCAATGACAGACAGCCTAAAAGAATGTGAATATATATATATATATATATATATATATATATATATATATTACTAAAAATAATTTTCGGACTTTGTCCATTTCATAATCTGTGATATATATATATATATATATATATATATATATATATATGTAAGATTGATACAAATATGAAATGTGTCACTTAGCTGATTGATGTTATATCCAGCACCCCGACTGCAGAGCTTCGTCAGCGGACCTTTTAGAAGTCGCTCTATCCAATCGTCAGAAAGTACCAGATTACTTCAAATGTTATTACAGTAGAAACTTTTTATTTAAAATAGACACACTGTATTTATTTATTTATTAAACCCTGTGTATTATGTCTATCGGCCTGTGTATGTCCGAAATCTCAGTTAAGATAATGTGTCCTCCGGCAGGGAACGAACCTGTGTCCCTCTTTCGCGTGGAATTACCTCTTGGCTACGAAGGATTCAACAGCAAGCAAGGCGCTTTTTAACCCTATTTAAGGAATTTATCCGCAGGACGATAGAACTGCCAACTACTGTTTAATAAATAAAAAAATGTCAGGCGTATATTTCAAATCAGAAGTGTGAATTATTATATCGATAAAATATAGCACGTTACTATCCGTAACAAAGAAGTGAGTATTTGAGCAAACCATTCTCCCATAACTCTCTTACCGCTTTAAGTATTAGCAACAATAAAAACTGTTGCATCTATAGTCATCCTTGACAGTCATGTAAGACTCTCCAAATGGAAAAATTCTAGAATACATTTCAAGCAAATTTCACAGTAAATGTGTATGAAATTATAAACAGAGGTTTGGTCTGATAAATTACTGCTGGATATTGGCTGTTAAGTGAACAGCATGGAATATATATTAATGGAAAATATATATCAAGGCAATAGTTTATAATGGCGTCTAAAAACGCCTTCCGTTGAAAATAGTTTAGATTAGCAGGTCTTGACTCGTAAACCATTATCGTCTGCTTAATGAAAATACCCGTGACACTTTCCGCTTGTATCCAGCATTCCCGATATTGAGAATCATTTGTCTTCCATTTTAATGGACCCCAACTTATTCTGCGTGTGTAAAAACCTATGAGAATCCACCTATCCACCTTCCTTGCGTCCAGTGCCCGTTCGTGTCTACTGCATTCTGGATAATAGCTCCAGTAACACCATAGCTTTTGAAATTAAGGGTTTTTTTTATTATTATTTTACGTGTATAGTATCTCTATCCTACATATAACACAGGTGAATGCGTTTTGTATTCAGAATTGTACTTCTCCTACTCTGTTTACCAACCACAACTAGAGTGACAAGTCTACCCTACTATTTAACCTATAGATGGGAGATACGGATTTATACCTTTTTCCAAATGTATTTGTGCTAAAGTGAATGTGACCAATTCTATCGTAATTCGAAAGCGACTCACTGATTTATCGTTCCGAACCGCTGATCATTATATTCTATAATTTTTTAAATGTTTCTCTTAGAATTGACACTTTCTTAAGATATTTTTAGAAAACCATTTCTTCCCATACAAGATGGCAAGACCATGAAGATGTAGGGGATTAAAGGGGAGAAACGACAATATGGGAACAGGGTTCCGAAAGACAATTGATGGCGATTGACGACGCGTTTAAATTTTTGAAAATTGTAGATGGCAAGAAAACTAGAAATTGGAAAGGAGTTCCACAGATGAAAGTGTGAGTAAAGAAACTGTTATAGAAATGGAAGTTGCATCTAGCTAGTTCAAAAGTAAAACGGCGAGACCAGTCTACTAGCACTCTTAAATCCATGTAGTCTAGGCACTAAGGCAAAAAGCTCATCAGAATCATTGCCATGAAAATATTTGTAGAAAAGACTTAGGGAAGCCATGTAATGGCGGTGTGAATGTCGAGATGCCAGGTGAAAATCGAGTAAATTACAGACCCTTCTTTGAATTTCGTCAAGAATCTCGAGGTATACATCAGGAGCACCAGACAAAATACGGAAGTAATATTCAATGCACGGATGAATGATAGATTTATAAATGTGCAAGAGGAAGAAAGAATAAAGAAAGGATAACATCTGAATACTTTATTTACATTAATCGGACTATTATCCTCATCTTCATTGACATACTCACAACGTTTCTGTCGTTGTACCCTCCGGCCTTCTTCAGTTGATTGAAATTTCGATTCGAACCCTTTATTTCGTCCACCGGGGTAGATTGTTCTAGTTCCATTGCCATGCCTCTTCTGGGTGTCTCAGTTATTTCCCTTTAACTCTACTCTCCAAGTTGTTTTGGTTCACCACTTCTGTAGCCTGGTATTGAACTCATAATTTTTTGGATCTCGTCACTGGATATGACCAACACCTTTATCCACTGCGTCATGTGTCCTTGAGTTCGAATAATGTAAATAATCATAATACCTCATATCAAAGATATAGACAGATATTTGAATGCTTTGTTCTTCATACTCTGAAACAATTTTTGAATACCTCCATTGAAATTTTAACTTTTATCTCTATCTATAAAAGGCATGATGTGTGTGTGTGTAACGAATGCCCGGTCGCAATTTTCGACAGATTTGCACCAAAATTTACATGCACATGCTCCAAGTTAGCGAGAAGGCCAAGACCGACTTTGCATTTCCCAACTCCCATCGATAGTGGAAATAATCGATTTTTTCATGCTTCTACGGCAGTTTTCATGTAGTTAGCGGCCATTTTGTACTGGCCAGAGTGAGAGCCTATAGCTGGCTGCCACGAATAGGCAGAAAGATTCTATTGGCCAGCGTGAGAGCCAACAGCTGACTGACACGAATGTTAACTAGCATGCTAGCATGCAAAAAAAATCGATAGCTGCATTCGTCACAAGTGGGAAAAATTTAAATCTGCATGGCACTTTACTCCAATTGGCTCATTCGCTTGCTTAAACTCAACGTTGATTCTGATTACGCAGAACTGGGTTGTGTGTGAAAAAGCATTTGTTGTTAACATTCTTTTTTCATTCGGTTTTTCCAGTTACGAGTCCTTTTTTTTAAAGCTGATCGTTTTGTGTTCATTTTGTTTAGTTCTTTTTTTGTAACAGATTTAATGTTTAGTATAGAGCTTAGAAAAAATTCGAAGTGTGAGATAGGCAAGAAGTAAGGCATGTAGCAACATCAGCACGGCAAAGGGCACTCCTTTAAAGGCAAGGAAGGGCAAAAATATTTTAAGTCAAGTGATAGCGATTGCTATATGAGTCGTACGATTTTTTAATCAAGCAAGAGCAACGTCGGGCCATGCTGCTAGTTCCCTATAAATATATACTTTCGATGTTTGTATTTGATTGCCATTAGGATCCACAGTGGACGTTTTTGACTGACTGAATTCTTTTTTACGGTTTACCAACTTTTCCTAATTTATTTAAAGCAAAAAAAACTACACTGTTAGAATTATTTGTAGATAATAGTGATTTACTGATACAAGTCCTACTACTTAACCCATAACTGGGGAGAAGAGAAGCGGTTCCCTACTTTTCCCAGGGATATTTGCACGTTAAGTGAATATAACGAACCCAAATGGAATTGCCGATTAACAATTCCAAACATTACATCACATGTAAATTGAAGCTTATAGCACTTGATATTTTCAAGTGGTCGCCCATCTCGGTACTGACCAGGTTTGACGTTGCTTAACTTCGGTGATCGTATGAGAACCGATGTTTCCCCGTTACATAGCCGTAATCCTTCACTGTGGCGGTAACAGCTTCTTTGCTGTGAGTACATAGACAGGTAAGGCGTCTCATAGGAGAGTGGTTTCATTGTATGCTCACTTATCAACATTATATCTCCGTAATAATGCCACTGACAAAGCAGGTGGCCCTTTTTTTCAAAATGAAATACAATTTCCTACTCTTGAGTTATTAAATGTATGTTTCGTCGGCCTTAGAATTATCTACTGTCGACAAAGATAATCATGGAAGAATATGATACATAAAATCTCTACTTTTTTAATCATTTCACTCCGATCAAGGCAGGGGTGCCACTAGTACGCAGGGGGTTACAGAGTGAAAGTGAGAGAAAAGACTGAGTATAGGAGGGATTAATGAAAGGATAGAAGATGAACAGGGTTCAAGACAACAGAAGATAGCAATTGATGTTGCATTTAAAATTTTCAAGATTGTAGTTTTCAGCGAAACAGGTAAGCGGAAAGGAAGTGAGAGAAAAGAAACTGTTGGATTAGAAGTGGCGATTAAATTTAAGTATTTCAACAGTAAAAGGGTGTAACCTATATACCAATTTACTAGCACGGTTAAATGCATGTAGTCGTGGCACCAGGGAAAAATACTCGTTAGAGCAGTTGCCCTGAAAATATTTGTAGAAAAAACAGGGAAAAACAACATCACGTCTGTGAGAAAATGACTGAAGTCGAGATGCCAGGTCAGGATCGATTATATTGCAGATCCTTCTTTAGATTTTGTCAAGAACTTTGTGATGAACAGCAGAGGCACCAGACCAGATATGGCAACAGTATTCAATGTACGGAAGAAAGGTAGATTTGTAAATGTGCAAGATGGGATCTGACGAGAAAAATTTCTGGCACAACACAATGAACCAACTTTCCTTGCAATAGATGCAGCTATTGATTCAATGTAGTGGTTACACTTCAAGTCAGTTGAAAGCATAAGGCCAGGAAGGCGCATTGAGATGCTCTTCTGGAGCCGAGTATCAGCCATGCAAATGGAGGGCAGGAAAGACTCTCTATGGTAGTTAAACGATAGCAGTTTAATTTTGGAGTCATTAAAATTTACAAGCCATTTCCTGACCCAGTCAAGCACTAATTAGTGGTCCTTTTCAAGAGCAACGGTTAGGTTAACTTTGTCAGCTCTTACGGATTTGCTATTGAGACAGGAGTAAATGGTAGTGTCAGAAACAGTGTATGGCCTAGGATAGAGCCTTAGGGGACACTCGCGTTCGTGTGATATCAGACAAATAGTGGGTAATTGAATGACAAAATGGGAAATATATTATGTGACGCATTTCGTTCTTCAATGGACTTCTTCAGACGAAATAATCATTTTATTGGTGGGAGCATATATATGAGGGAGCGAAATACGAACAAACATCGGTTATTCATAAATAAAAAGGGAATAACGGTTCACATCGAGGGAAACGCTGAAAATGCAAAGACGATAAACTTTAGATTTAAATTTTATATTTCTGACGTCTGACCAGGCTTAACGTTGCTTAACTTCGGTAACCGTACGAGTGCCGATGTTTCATCGTTATATGGCTGTAAGCCTTCACTATGGCAGTAACAGCTTTTTTGCTGCGAGTACATAGACAGGTTAAGGTGTCTTATGGGAAATGTGTTTCGATGTGAGGTGTGTTTAGATATGAGATGTGTTTAGATGTGAGGTGTTTAGATGTGAGACGTGTTTAGTGGAATTATGTACGATAAGCTGCACAGTTTTAATACGGTAGTAATTCTTATTAATATAAAGGTTATATTATAATATATGCACGTTTTTGCTTTGATATACGCTTTTTTTTTCCAAAAACTCCCAACATCGAATGTCTTATTAAAGAAAATGTACTTCCCGATAATTTATAGGAAAAAAATAAAGCCGGACTAAAAAATTGAATTCATTAATTGTTTAAAGATTATTTTGCTTATGTTTCGAACATGAAAGTTAGCAGATACAGATTTCGAAACCTTCATACGAGATATGAGAATTTATTAAATAGATTAGTTTTGCTTTGCTGTGATGGCTCCCAATGACTCAATGATACAGCACATTTAGCTTCAAAGTTGTTTTCAAAATTTAAAAGGGAATAAAGGTTCGTTTCCAGGCGGAAGGCACATTTTTCTTTAATATGGTTTTCGATCTCTAGGCCAGTAGACATTAACTTTAATTTGATTGTTTGAAAGAACGGGGATGTTTATTCAAACAGATGTATCTACTAATTATAACATTTATAGTAATAAGAAAACACACACACACACACACACACACACACACATATATATATATATATATATATATATATATATATATATATATATATATATATATTCTTCTTTATTCTCGGGTATATGTTCCAAAAAGTTGTTAATGCTTTGTTATATAGGCGTTTTCAGATAAAAAAAAAAAACAATTCTGTTCTTTCATTCCGATATATTCTCCATGGCTTGTCGCCATCAAATTGGTTGGATCCATGCAAAATTTCCTGTTTCATCAGACATTTTCAATAATTTCAAGAATTTATAAAAGGAGTCGTTCTTTTATAATGAAATACACAATTTTACTGGAAGGTCCTGTAAGGTCATAAAAAGACACAGAAAATATTTTGATGAATGAATGATGATGCTATGAATTTAAACTAGTTGAACTTGAATTCATTTTAATAAAAGACACTCAAATTTTGGCATCAATATAATAAAATCGATTATTTTACTGACAACAAAGAAGTTAACTTCCCCATTTTTACTCGAATGAAAACATTTTGATGTTAACTCAATTTAAGCTTTTTTAATCATATTGCCTTTATAATTATTATTTATTTATTCCAGGTTCAAATTTACGACCAAATCGTGTTTGAAAGCATCAAATCACCCGGACACTACTTTCACGCTAGTCAATCATTTCACATCGACCATTTTACTTATGGGTAAGTTTTTATTTATGTTACTTATTTGTGATTCTTGAAGCTACCAACTTTCCGATCAGTTGTTCTTAACTAAGATTAGCTTGTTTTTTGGGGGGTTTTTTGTCACAACGACGCAAATATGGGTCATCAAATGTGGATAGAATTCTATTATTTAGGAATATTTCCAACCAAATAACCATTACCTTATACTCTTGCGTTCTGTATGGTCTCTGGCTTTACTACCACGAAGACATGAGTGAAAGGAACTTGAAGATTTTAAAAGGAATCGGAAACACAGTCGAAGGAGAGAAATTAAGGCGATAGGCGGACCTATTCTCACTCATTCCTCATTTATTAAAAAAGACTAGAGATTTATCTCTTGTTTCCTGTTTAGGATTGGATTTCCGGTTCCTTCTAAAGTTTACTTATTCTCTTTCGCTCCCTTGCGTCTTAGTGGTATTATTTCCTTGTTTGGGGTGAAATGATTAAAAAAAAAAAAGAATTTGGTTTTAAAGAAAGATGCTGAGGTTGTTTCAAGTCTCTTCTTCATCTGTGAGGAGATTTTCCAGCATTCACTGTCATAGCGGAGGACTGGATATTACAAAACAGTTTAATACTTATTTGTTCATTTGTTTCTAACGAAATGTTATTTATTGTGGTCATTTATTCCGGCATCATTTATCTTTAAACAAAAGTTGATGGAGTTAGAAAACTGCATTTGAATAATCGATTTCTAGCTTCGATTCCAGACCATATTTGGGCGGAGCGTATTTAAATAATGCTGGCAATATCAAGTGGATGATAAAATACAGAAATTAATTGCTAATTTTCCAGCATTTAACCGTTTTCAATCTACGTTGGCTGCTGTCGATTCGAATCTAACGAGTATCATATGCTATATATTATGACAATTTTATTAGCATCATAAAATGCCAACAAAATGGTAAACTCAATATATAAAATTACGTTTTAGTAAATGTCCAAATTTACTGCGTCTGATTTGATTCTTACTGGACTATATTCATACTCTCAAAGAGGCCCCTTGCCTCAAACGCCTATTGGTTCTGAAGCTTACTCTCGAACTCAAATAGTAATGATAATAAAAGTAATTTCCCGATAAGGAAACATTTGGTTATCATTGACTGAGCAGCCACTATTGATTTCGCTTGAAATTTATAAAGCATTTCTCTTAAAAAAACTATTTTAGGAAGACAGGTTTTTAAAGTCCATGATTGTCAACATCTCCAAGTTTCATATAAGTTCAATAATGATGTGGCCTGGCATTGAACTCACAATACTTTGGGTAAGGTCACTGGATCTAACCAACGTCTTTATCCACTGGGCCATGTGTCCTTGAGGAGAGTTGAGTTAAATGGAAATAACATCCGCAAGAGGCATGACCCGTGGAACTAGAACAATCTACCCCGGTAGACGGAATAAAGGGTTCGGTTCTAAATTACAATCACCTGAAGAAGGCCGGAGCGTACAACGGCCGAAACGTTATGAATATGGCAATGAAGATGAGGATAACAGTCCGAATAATGAAAAAAAAATGCAAGTAATCATAATCATATATCTCAGAGATATTGACAGGGAAAGATATATAATCTCCATGATATATCATATTTGAATATCAAACGTTTGACCATCAATAGATAAGAAAATATAGGGGTGGCTTGGAGGTGAATCACAAAGGTAGACAATGAGTTTGTTTGCGCGAAAATGAAAATAGTTGGCATAGTTTTTGTTTGTACGAAGATGAAACAAAGGTACGTTTGGTTTGTTGGTTATTGATTATTTTTGTTTAGCGGGATGTCTACATCTATGGATTATTTAATGCCGAAATCTAAATATTTTGTACGCAATATTTTTTCGACATAATAATTAGTGATACAAGGCTTACTAATTAACCCATAGCTGGGGAAGAAGGGTTAGATTCATACCTTTCCCATGAGCACTTGCGCATAAGTGAATACAGCGAACTCGACTGGAATTGGAACTCAGCACTTCGACTTCGAGCCGTTATCCATTACATCATTCGCACATCAAAACTTATAAGACCTAGTATTCCCAAGCGAACACCTAACTAGTAACTGATCAGGATCGACGCTGATTAACTTCGGTGATCGTACGAGAACCAGTGTTTCAGCGTGATAAAGCCCCAAGCCATACTAATTGCACATCAAAGATTATAGCACCTGTTTTTCCCCCAAGTGGTTACTCATCTAGATACAGAAAAAGCTTGACGTTGCTTAACTTCGGAGATCATACGGGAGCAGATGTTTCAACGTCATGTGGCCGTAAACCAGGTTTGGTTTGTACGAGAATAAAAATAGACGTAGGCTTGGTCTGCGCGGGGGTCAAAGACAAACATAATTCTGGCTTTGGTGAAATAAGGTAAACATAGGTTTGGTTTGCAGGAGAGTCGAAAATATAGGCAAAGGTTTGGTTTGCAGGGGAGTCGAAAATGTAGACAACGGTTTGGTTTGCAGGAGAGTCGAAAATGTAGACAAAGGTTTGGTTTGCAGGAGAGTAGAAAATGTAGACAAAGGTTTGGTTTGCAGGAGAGTCGAAAATATAGGCAAAGGTTTGGTTTGCAGGAGAGTCGAAAATGTAGACAAAGGTTTGGTTTGCAGGAGAGTAGAAAATGTAGACAACGGTTTGGTTTGCCAGAGAGTAGAAAATGGATACAAAGGTTTGGTTTGCAGGAAAGTCGAAAATGTTGACAAAGGTTTGGTTTGCAGGAGAGTAGAAAATGTAGACAAAGGTTTGGTTTGCAGGAGGAAAGTCGAAAATGTTGACAAAGGTTTGGTTTGCAGGAGAGTAGAAAATGTAGACAAAGGTTTGGTTTGCAGAAGAGTAGAAAATGTAGACAAAGGTTTGGTTTGCAGGAGAGTCGAAAATATAGGCAAAGGTTTGGTTTGCAGGAGAGTAGAAAATGTAGACAAAGGTTTGGTTTGCAGGAGAGTAGAAAATGTAGACAAAGGTTTGGTTTGCAGGAGAGTCGAAAATATAGGCAAAGGTTTGGTTTGCAGGAGAGTAGAAAATGTAGACAAAGGTTTGGTTTGCAGGAGAGTCGAAAATATAGGCAAAAATAGAAAATATAGGCAAAGCTTTGGTTTGCAGGAGAGTAGAAAATGTAGACAAAGGTTTGGTTTGCAGGAGAGTAGAAAATGTAGACAAAGGTTTGGTTTGCAGGAGAGTCGAAAATATAGGCAATGGTTTGGTTTGCAGGAGAGTAGAAAATGTAGACAAAGGTTTGGTTTGCAGGAGAGTCGAAAATGTCGAACTACATAGAGTAAACATGTGACCCAGAGATGTATTTAGCCTACTTTTGACCCCCAGCTGTCAGGGTGAGAAATTGCATGTCGCAATAATTTTTAAAAGATAACGCCTCCTTTGGGAAAGGGAATTCGAGCTAATGGATTTTATTTGCTTTTCATCAACAGTTAGTGCGGTATAAACAGAACAAATAAAATCTGTATCTTATATAAGTTTTAATCTAATAAATTCAAAGTTTGAATGTATGCCGTCTCGCATCCATGAAAATTACCCATCAAATTGATTTTCTGTCCGTATGTCTGTGCGTGTGCACCTGTTTCAAAATATCGCTTAAAACTGACATTAAATGAAATAAAAATGTAAGGCTAATTATAGGCTCACAAACATTTGGAATTAACGCTTATTCTTTCGTGTATCGTGCCACTTCAGGAGGTTGGCGATCATGAATCTCCATAATTTTGCGTTCTTTAATAATATTACATTTACCCTCCTTAATAACATTTTGGCTTTTTATTATCTCTCTTAAACCTTTTTCCTACCAGCCATTTACACACGCTCTCTAGGTAGGTTATGCGTTCTTTTCCGCCGTCTCCCTTAGCTTCAATCTCTCTTGTGAGTATCAAATTTACCAAGCCCTCTTTCCTCGTTACTTAGAAATATAAACTCTCTCTTTCTGATGTTAAGTATAAGAGTCCTTTATATTTTCATTATATAAAAAACTTCACCATTGCTCACATGTTGGGTCCATGGTATTCTCAGTACATTTCTATCGCTTCAAGTCTCTTCACCTGAGAGGAGATTGTTCAGCATATAAGAACTCTGGTATTAATTATATTATCTTTTTATCCGGCATTAATTAGATGTTGCTATCTATTTATGTTCACGTCTCCAAAATAGGATGGTGAGATTAGTATTTATCAGTACACGCGCTTGTACGAAATCTAGCACATAAAGGCGAAATCGTAGCGGCCCATAAGACTAGGGAGAATAAGTTTCAGTTCCCTCAACACTTCATTATTTGGACGACTCGGGTATCAGAGACTGACACAGGCCTCCCTCGGTTTGTGCGATGGGAGACGTACTACCTGTATGGGTGTGTCATGGAGGTGAACATAAATAAATAAAAAAAATCAAATTAAAGAAAAAAGAAAAACATAGATAAAAACGTTTACATTTTGTTTACTTCTATTTATCCTCGTCTGCGTGTAAACAAGTTTGACACGGTGTCGACTTAAAGGTTCTCACCGCGTGTACCTGAGAGCATCAACAAAAATTGTTCAGACTTCCCTAAGACTTTCTTTTAGTGACATGGGAGAGGGACTGCTTAGAGACATGGCCACCCGGAGATAAGCATGTTAATAGTAAACGCGCAATAAAGTGTGGGGTGGTATATATCCGCACTCCTACTTAAAGGAAATACGCCACAAGGTCGATTCTAGAGTGGGTGGGCCACTCGACTGAGGACAAAATTTGCTGAAACTCTCCTTTGCCATTTCTCTATTGGGATACCTCATATTTTATCCCAACGTTCGCCAATGGGTAAATATGTTTAATCAAGTTGGTTACTCATTGGGAAGATGGTTAAGTTTGACAATAATAGTGAAACGGCATAAAAATGCGGCTTTAGTAATTATATCTATATGTGTTTTATATCTTGCTCAACATAACGTTTTTAATGGATATAACTAATCTGTATATTCAGCTTTGACATAAAAATTAAAAAGCAACTCTGAATTGTT